TGTCTCTTATGAACAGGCTTCACCTTTATCAAGTGTACGTACTGCACATGTAGCATGTTATTGAAAATTCTTCCTTGTGCACTATATACTAGTCCTCTGTCAGTCCAGGCTTTGCAAAGCAGATCATGTCTATCGTACCTTATGTTATAATGGCAGCTTAGTAACCTGAATGGTCATAAGCTTGACTATTGGTTGCTATGTTAAAGCCCCTTATACATACAGTGTTCATTGATATTGATGATAAAATGACTGTATGTATAACAGTTTTGTTTTTCTTGAATGTTTGTGTTCCCCATTTTGTTTCAAGCCCATATTCTTACACTGTGCTGCTGGGCATGTACTGAAACATAAAAAGTGGCCTGGAATTCCATAATTAAGTTATACTAGAAAATATATTTATATAAATAAAGATTTAACAAAAATCTAAATTATTTTGTTGCCCAACAACAAACTGCACCCTTAAATACAAAGACAGTAACTGTTTTCAATGAAACATCTTTTTTAGATAATGCCAATGGTTTGGGAAGTTAGGAACTCACTTGTTAGGCAACAATATTGTTGAATATTGAAAACCTTGAAACATAAAAGTTGAAAAATTTAAAGTGCATGATCATAATAGTAAAAAAAGAACGTAAAGTTGCACATCTGCTTAACTAAATAAGCACTATGCCATGAAGGCAATCATCATATTGATATGAAAAACATTAATCAGAAGTTGGAAGTAATGTTATTTCTTTAAAAAATTAATGAGACTGTGTGGACAGTGTTAGAGAATGCAAATAAGTCTTCTGATATCTTGTACACTGCACTATATTCCCAAATCCACTATATTCAATTTTTCTGATGTCAGTGTGATTACATACATTTACCAATCTGATTTTATAATTATATTACACATACCAACATTCTGTACAGGTGTGGTGATCAGATGGTAGATTTAATATGGGAGATATAGAGGCTATTATGTAACAGCTTGATCAAAATTGTTTGGCCAGTCTGGCAGGAGGGACACTACTTGTGTCAACTCACACCAAGCACATTTGTACTCATGGCAGGTAAGAGGCCAACAGCCCATTCACATTATAATTTCTATCCAGTAGTCTCCCTATAAATCTTTGAACACTTACTGTGAATTGAGTTTATGGGTTATGTGCCCCTGCTTCTGTATTAAATATTCAATCAATCCAATTACTTCTTTTGTCAAAATTCCATGTCAGATTTACTCACTGAAATGATTGTTCATGTAAAATACCCATGTGAAAGCAAGGAGAAGCTAATTCTATGCTGAAGCATCCTGCTGCAATACAGTTGACTCAATATACTTGGTCCTTAACATACTACTCTGTCCAAAAAGTGTCCGACCTTGGGCCAGGAAAAAAAAGTTCTGCATCTGGGTGGTTACAATACCTAATCACCTTGAAAGTAGGCCCCTTGTGACTCCACACATTTAGCCCAGTGGTCCTTCCATCGCTGGAAGAAATTCTGGAAGGCTTCTTTTGGAATGGCGTACAGCTGCACCGACGCGTTCTGTATGATGTCCTAGTGGCTGTCAAAATGGCAGCCTTTTAGTGGTGTCTTCAATCTCGGGAACAGCCAGAATACACAAGGAGCCATGTCAGGAGAGTAGGGAGCCTAGCAAACCTGCGGAATGCCGTGATTGGCCAGGAAACCCTGGATCAGCTGTGATGAATGAGCTGGGGCGCTGTCATGATGTAGCTGCCAGTTGCGTGCGTCCCACAGCTCTGGTCTCTTGCGCCGAATTGCATCATGAAGATGGCGGAGGACTTCTTCGTAGTACTCCTTATTGACAGTCTGGCCTAGTGGTGCGTACTCATGATGCACAACACCCCGGTAATTGCAAAAACAGTCAAGTATCACCTTCACATTGCTCCGAACCTGTCATGCTCTTTTGGGCCTTGGGGATGTTGGATGCTTCCATTGTGACACCTGGACCTTGGTTTTTGGGTCATACCCCAAGTTTCTGACAAAACGTAATGCAGTATCACTGCTCCAAGTGTTCTGTCATCTTGAGCAAAACGAGAATGCGATGAACACGTGTTACACCACTTCACTATCTGGCAGCCACAGACGCATCCGGCAGTGTTGCGAGTCAGCAAAAAATCATGCATGCTCATGAAAGTCCCTTCTACCACTTCACTCAGTTTCCCCACCCTTTGGCCATTACTTACAGCGGGAAAAAATAAAGTTGGGTACTTTTTGGACATATGGTATGAATGCTTGACTTATAAACATCTGTAAGCATGAACTGAATACAATACAAGACAAAATTATAACGAACATTTCTGAGGAATAAGTAGCCTCCATCTTCAGAGTCAAAGAACAATCCAAGCAGGAACCCAGCATGAAGCAGGTAGCAAATAGAGTCTGAGTCTGTTGACTTTCAATGGACTATATATCACTGCATCCCATAAGATCAAACTCATCATAATCACCGCTGTGAGAACCTCAAATCCTAAAGCAGCTTTGTGCATAAGCTTAAATTTACTCAACTACTGCTACTTATATTATGTCTTATGGGGCATTTTCCTTAAGAATTATTTAACTTCAGAATGGGGATTTGGAACATAACCCATTTCTAAGTCAAGGATCAAGTGATACTCTGGCTGTCAATACAACAAATATTTCAAAATAAACCAACCTAATTGTTTACATTGGTTTTATTTAATAATTTCTATATACGTATTTCAATCCATATTTTGGACCATCCTCAGGCAGTTGCACTAAATATGTCTCATGTTAGTGAAGTATCCTAATATGGTTCCATATCTGTGTTAAAATACATGTAATTATGAATAAAATTGTAAAAATAATTTAAAATTTTTAAAATTCTCTCCTCATTACAATGTAAAATTCAGTGTTATTTGTTGTGTATTGTAGGTGATGTTTATCTTCCAGGGTTCACTGTCATGTTTTTGGTACTATTTGCATATAATGTTATTATTAGTTTTTCAGTCCGCATTAAAACCAGGAACAAGAACTACAAAAAGAAACGTTCACATGATAAGAAGTATACAACACACTCTAAAGAGAAAAAACTTAATCATAATGTCATATTGAAGAAGACAAGAAGAAACACACATAAAAAACTAAAAAACTGATATATTTATATGAATTGTACTGTATCTGCATCAAAATTCAACAAGCACAACAAATTCGAGTATGATCCGCTGGAATTTAATAACTTGAATTATATACTACACAGTAAAAATACAGTGCGTTCAGTTAAGGAGGAAACTTCGCAACACCGCTGACCCGGCGCAACATTCCTCACAGATTGCTGCTGTAACTGCTGATAGCAGAATGAGTTATTAGCGCTGATAAACGCGCGCCGTTACAGTTACAGCAGCAATCTGCGAGGAATAATGGGCCCGGTCAGCAGTGTTGCAAAGCTTCCTCCTGATTGAATGCCCTGTATTATACAAATGGCCTATGAAGCATCCTGGTGTCAGAAATGAGGCAGGAAAGAGGTATGCCTTTTGTTTTAAGTACTGTATGACTTAACTACATAAGTTGGCTTAACCGTCAGTCTTTGTATTGCATATTTAAAAAAAGGAAGTAAAAAATTAAAGAGACAAAACAACCTTTAGTTATACCAAGAATAACAGAGCTGTTTACAGTACGCTGTCACCTGAAAGGACAACTTTTCGAACTGGTATTTTTCAACTTGTGAAAGGGGAAAAAGAGATGAATCAAACTCACATATCCCATGCGATTGTGAGCCTACAGCTTACTTAAAATTTTGTAACCTGGGCTACTACTTTATGCAACCAGGTGACTACCTAGACACCCCTTTAAGCATGGTACTGCACTCTGATTGAAGCGTAGGATGGTTTGGAGGGGGGGGGGTGAATGGACAGAAGTGGATGCACAACAAATCTTTGACTGTTGTAATGCATAGGCCGGTGGGGCCCCTCCCCTTATTCATTCTTAATTCAATGATAGTTACAGCAAAATATGATCAACTGACCTGTAAAACAGTTAACATTCTGAGGACTAGTCAGTTGCAAGTGAATCTGTTGATCTCAGACACTGACATGAAAATAAACAGAAAAATTGGAACTCATAAATTACTCTATAATTTCAGTGAATATTTAGTAGTATTTACATATTTATACAATCATAAGCTCTCTGAAACGTTGTGGTTTTTTGTCTTCTATATACCAGATGATGGATAGAGCCCAAAATAAGCCTAATAGTTCTGAGGAGGAAGTATTCATACATCAGCAGTCCTCAGAGTGTTAACAAACTACGAGCCTGCAATCAACTCTAATGGGTTCTAAAGAAGCTGTACTACACTTGGATTACTGCTATTCTGGATTTTATCTGTCTACTATTATTCTGTACAGAACATAATGTTTTGGAAACTGGATCCATTTGTCCTCACGCAAAATAACAGGTCCCGTGATTAAGCTTAGCTTTTTCTAATGCGAAAAGCTGAGTTGGTTACTTTCATACATTTAACAAGACACCTTGTTGACACTACATAAATTTCTTATCCTGGAGAACCCCTGTGCTGACATTATCACGATTTCACTTCATCCATCCACTCAGACAAATGCCAACATATTACCTAATACCAGCCAAAAATCATATTTTTCTACATCCTTTCCAATTCATTATTCAACAATAATTTAATCATCTGATGTTATATAATCCAAGCTACTCTCAGCTTCATTAAATAATAAACCATATAAAATTAAATAAGACAATCTATACACTTTACAAACTCAATGCCAAATCTCTTACCTAGAGGAAATAGTAACAAAATGTACAAGCATACTCATATACATGTATATATATGTATTATCATAAATCAAGACATAAAAATTTAGCTCCACTGAAAATCCTGTTATGGGTAATAACTGGTGTGAATAAATACTGAATTTTTATTAGGAAGTGAGGTGCCACAATCAATCCAATCTGTATCAGTCTCACTATAAGAGAGGAAAAGTTCTTTCATCTGATAAAAGAACACATACCTTGTTCCTGCTTACTTTTCTCCATGGCCATGCAGGCTGTCCGCCACTCCTGTAGCTCAGGTGAGGGAATAAGACCAGCTGAACCTGCAGCATTGTCTTTCCTCGCCTGCCACCAGTTATGGTCATCTTTACTTATTATCTGCACATAACAGAATAAGAGAAGAATGACTTTTACTGATTATCCTCATATTGTACTTGACAATTATTAAAACAATAAGAAAATAATTACTTATAGGCATTAACAAATGCAGTTACTAGAGTTTTATTATAATGTATCCACAGACAACAATTGTGGTCCTTATTTTATGTATGTATGTATTTTGGCCATTGTCCTAACTGGAGCTTCATGTCAGGGTAAAACTGAAAGAAAGATTAATTAACATTTACAGGATTAGGGGTTCTCATAAAGATGGTTATGAAGAGTTCCATCTTCTTGGATATAATGCCATGCAGTCCACTGGAAGTAATCAACATTCCAGAGAAACATGTCGCATCCATCCTCAGGATCAAAGAATAAGCCAAGCAAGAAATCAGCATGAAGCAGAGCTTGAAGCCTACTTCAAGCTGGGTTCTTACTTCGCTTATTTCTCAACCCCGAAAAGATGGAGGCAACATGTTCCTCGAAAATGTTAGTTGATTTCAACAGACTACAAAGTGTTATATCCCAGAAGACAGACCTCTTGATTAGGATTTATGGTTTATATAACAACACTGTTGAGTAGCTCAGACTGCATGGAGTTGAATGTTAGGATGATTAGTGGATAATGAATTGGGCAGGAAGTGGAAAAAAATCGCCATGGCCAATTTCAAGCACCATCCTGGAATTTACTTGAGAATAACCATGATTACTGCCAGCCAGAACAGCTGATCTCCTGGCCAAAACTGTAATCCGAAACCTCTGAAATATAAAGCAGGAGTGTTATCCACTTGACTGTGGTGTTTGGTTAATTTAACTACGACAACTATACTTTGAGCACGTGGTTGCATAGTTTGTTGAGGCACTATGCTGCAGGAGAGTTTGATTCCTGATGCTTTTAACAGAAATGAGTACCAGGTATCTTCCTGGGGGCAAAGGGTGGCTGGCATGTAAGGCTGATAATCTCACTGCCATCTGTGACCTGACAATCTAGAAAATTTGAGAGCCTCGACGTCTCACAACCCTATGGGTATCTAAGGCCTGTTACAGGGATAGTTTTATCTTTCTTTTTAGCTTAACACAACTACATTTTGTTGTATATATATACAAATCAACTATCTTGTTAATATAAATGTTGTTCCCTTCATTATCACATACCTCTTTCAAACCATTCTTTTTGTATTATTCTGGACATTTCTGGAACATATATAATTATCATTATTGCACCCCTTGTCTAAAATATGTGGACCTAAATTTACTTACTTGAAGAATATCTCCAGTCTTGAAAGCGATGCCAGCTTGTGCACAAGGGATCAAGTCATCATCCAAGGGGTCATAATCAAATTGAGCACGCACAAATATCTGAAAACACACAAAAGGGTGTATAACCATTGTTCCATTTAATGGATATAAGCACCTGAATTTCTGAAACAGCTTTTTAAATGAAGATAAGCAAACAGAGATTATAGCAGGATTAATAAAATTATCTAACAGACAATCTTGAACTTGACAGTGAAACATGCACTTAAAGCCTGCAAAAAAAAAACAAAAAATTTGTTTTAACGTTATTATCATTAACTCAATAATTTTTAATCATATTCAGTATACGTGATTAACTTAAAATGCATATTTTAAATATATTTATTAAAGAACTTACAACATATTAATGTTATAAATATTATGAACTTGAGTTCTGTGTGAAGTTTTATGCTTCTGACATAAAATTCTCAGTATCCGGATTGTAAAAACCACATTTTATCAACAAAGGATAAGACTAAAGATACTACAGATAAATTTATATTGCAGTTTTAAGCTTGTTTTTAAGTTAAATGAATAAAGAAATAAAAAACTTTATCATCTACTGTATTAAGAATAAAACAAATTTTCTTTATTAAATAATAAATTTATCATGCAAAGCAATTCTACAAAATAAGCTTTATACATGACTGTATACAATACAAGGGCTCCTACCCCTTTATTTTTCATCTGCATATCATTCAAATGAATTTGTGTTACATACAAGATACTTCCCTAAATTAAAATACATTACATCATTTAGTGGACTCATAGTTTTTTTAGCAATCTACAATCTAGCTGCTGCGAATACAAAGTATTACACCATGTATTGCTAAGCAGCCTGGTGTAGCTGTAGTCCTTCAGTCTTGTACAGAAGAGGTACCAGATTTTGATATCTGCCAGGTTACCAGCTACCCTGATAGATATGTTGAGGTTTTCTTTAGTATCTTCAGGCATATGCTGCAATAATGCCTTCAAAATGGGTATTTTTCAAGTCCTTATCCTCCAACCATTCACAATCCTCTTCCCATCTCATGTTATGCTATATACCCTCTACAGGTGAAACAGCATCATTAAATTGGTTAATAATTAATTGGCGTTATGAAGTAAAAGTGACAGCTTTACCATCATTGTTAAAAAAAAAAGATGTAAGACTTTGTGTTGGTGATGAATACATAGCTATTTTGTTTTTCATGTATGAAATTAGATTCATAATCTAAACTCAACATGAGATTAAAACTGTACAAAACTAAGCAGTAATACATATCAAAACAGATTATGTGGATTGTCTCAAACATACTGGTTTTCCATGACACTATGCTTTGTGGAAGAAAAGATGATGATGTCAACCCAGTAATTCTCATTTTGTAACTTACATTCAGTATTATACAATGTTCATGTTTTATATATGTCTGTTCATCCCTTTTACTTTGTCTTCAATCAAAATGACTCGGTTTCATACAGTTCAGTATGAAGGCTGTGACTCTAGCGCTCAATGTACAACTATTAATTTCTAACTCACTACAATTACCAACTCCTTTTAAGAATGAACTTCATTCAATTAATATTTACAAATTCAGTTCCTACCAAATACAAAACACATCTCATCTATGTTACAAATATCAATCAGTTAACGCGGTTTATGAAAAGAGTATTTTGAGAATGATATGGAATACATGTATACATTCTGCGGGCAAAATAAAGAGTTTATAACGTTAAATCAGCTGTTACATATAGTAACCACTGTGCTTTAAAGGGTTAACAACAGAAATATAAAATTGTCAATGATACAGTATCATTCAGTACTACCATAGGGTTCAGAAATGCTGCAACAGAGTATGTTTTTATATATGATATTTGTCAAGGATGATAGAGGTCAACATGGTGGATGTGAGAATACTTATTAATAGCTGTTTTGACAATGACTTATGAACCACTTCAGGAAGACACATGATATTTTATATGACAAATTGTATTTCTGAAGTTCTGTATGATTTTTGCTTTTCACATATTGAAATGTACCAATGTGGTAACAGTGATTGTTTGAAAGGCAAGTTATTGGAAGTTGGAAATTGTGTATAGACTCCTAGGTTATACCATTTTTAATTAATAATCTTCTCTGGCTGCTATATTCAGAATTAAGTATTTAAAAAACTTAGTTTATAAATTCTCACAACTTCTCTCTGAAATTGTGTAGCAACTGACTTCTATAAATAAGATGAGTTCACAGTTCTGATATTCACTTGCATTACATGAGAAATGACTTAGGGTACTGGGAAAGTGTAACTGTTTTAAATGTAGGAGGATATATGTGGTAGTTTTGGGAAAAGAAATTTTACAAGCAAAATTACTAAATTATCGCATAATAGGTGCACTACCTAGTTGTGCATCAGAATGAAACATGATTTTCAGAAGGGTCATAAGTATCATTAGAGTCCAGAAGAGTTATGCAATGACCATTGCTATTTCTAGGCAAGGCAAAATACTGCCTAGAATGTCTCCTACATCATGCCACTGAAGACCAGTCCTGAACCTCACATATCCCTTAACACTCCCACGCCTGTAGTAATATATATAACAGCCCAATTTATAGTAGAATGTTTAATTTGTAATCATCAAATATGAATACAGATAAATTCCAAACTTAGATTTTAGGTGTAATACTCATACAATGGTGCAGTTAATAAAAGTGCAAGATAGAAATTTGCAATTTAAATAATAGATAACAAAGGTCCAATATTTTCTGGTAATGAGAGATGATACAGAAGTATTAATACTCTGTACATTATCATCTTGGTTCAGATACTTGTGATGGCATGAATTTAATGCAAGAAATTACTTTCTAGTTTCATGAGCATAGTATGTGGAAACTTCAAGCCAGAAAACTCATGGTTTTTAAATTCTACAAATTAGTGTATGGAATCATTAATGTAAAACAAACAAAAGCCTGAATATTGTTATTAGAGAAACTGTTATCCTTCTCTATCATTACTGCATTCCCTGGACACAAATATTGTATGCAAGAATGGTAGTATAATTATTATAGCTATCAGCTTATCAGCTCTACAATTTGAGGAACCACGCAATGACTTAGCACATTAGAACCTACCATATCCATACACAATCCACAGAAATCTTGAAATATGATATTTATCATTGGCCTAATATACAGTGAGGAGATAATAAATGACACAAATTCCGTCCCAAGTGCAAACAATATATATTATATGTCTTTGATCTTGTTCTTTCTACACTACATGTTTCGGCCTCTTATCGGCCATCATCAGGTGTATACTCTTAACGTTGCTGCCACACTGACCCCAGTCTAAAATTTAACATTTAAACACAATGTCATATTCTTCGTATTATCAACATCTACATCGTTGATATATGTGATATATAGTGAGGAGATAATATGTTTAACTATCACCATCTTCAATAATTTCCATCTAAAAGGTGAGTAAGGTATATCTCGTGTACTGTAAACTGGATATAATTCAAGTTGCACAGATAGTGGGAAAAATATATACACTATCAAGATATCTACAAAGCAACTAAATTAGTTATATAGCAACAGATGACAGAAAGGTTCTGAATGATGAATGGAAAGAATGTAGTCATGGCATATTTAAGTCACATACTGTCTCAACATATGATTGGGGGGAAATGAGGAAAGTCATAAAAAATTTCAGTCAGGACAGCTAGTTACTGGGCAAAGAACTCTGTACCTTACAAATGTAAAGCACAAGTGCAAACCACTACACTACAATGTTTGGTTCTCATCTGGCAACACTGGAAATATGGCAATACCGTGAATACATAATTAACTGTAATATTGCTTACAGGGAAATAGACTTGTATTGAAAAATTTGTTTCCTCTCAGACTGTGTACTTACATACAATTTATAATTTTATTTAGTATATATTAAATTACAATTAGAGATGGCAAGTAATTTTATTACCCAGTGAGATTTAATGTAGAAAATTATCATACTGTATAAATTTTAACAAATGAAAATAAGTCCAATTAGGACAGAACATCATGAAAATGGGCAGGCAGATAAAAAAATATCTGGACACTTTAAAAAAATGATTTTACATATAGATTTAACTCCTGTTTTAGATTATTAAGAATGAACATTCATTCTTGAAAATAGCAAAAAATCTACAAAATAATTAAGATATAAGTTTGTACACTGCTAGTTAAATACATTTTAAATGGCCATTACACATTTATAAAACATTTTCATTTCTAAGAAGGCATTATTAATTAAATATTTAATAAAAGACTAGAGGTGACATTTATAATTTGCAGTAGAGAAAACTGTAATCATCTGCAAGAAACAAAGAGCCTATTGGTATCAAATCTACTGACCATTTTTATTCAACTGGCAATCCATCTTGCCGCACACTGACCCACCACAAGAGAGAGTAATAACAAAGTTCTTCCTAGAAAGTTGGCATAATTATGTGAATACAATAAAATAACCTCAGCACACCTAACATACAGAAAAACAAAAGAATGTTTATATATTATTAATATAAATATCACTATGAAGTGTACTAATCAGCAAGGTAGCACTTCACAGAGTTCCTTGAACAATTGAGATGGGTGACGCTCATGCATAGCAACAAACATGCCCAAATAAATAATAAAATTAACAGTGCCTATTACTGAAATGCATCACAAAATAAAAAGTATGGCAAAACATAACATGACATCACACCAGATGCAGAGAGGTACTTACTAACACTGGAAGAGGCCTAATCCTGAACAACTATATCGTGTTGAGGAAAAAAGAAAGGAGAGCACACAATTAACTTTCGAAGCACAAGATGAAGGGATGTGCAACAGCATTAGTTGCTGGAATCAAAAAACAACTGACTGGGTGCAACCCATCCTCACCAGGGATACTGAACATTGAGAGCACTTATTACCAGTGACTTACATACCGGCATTATTTCTACAGCAAGCTGCATGGTCACTACGGAAAGTTGATATAATTGGAGTTTATTCTTACGTTTATATGCTGCTTTGAAACAGAATATTGCATACACTGACTAAAAATTATACTCAGAGAAGTCTAGTAATTCAGTCTATTAGTGGTTCATTAATTAACACATTAACTCTCAGATGTCAAATGATAATCATTACAAACATTTCATTTCATGAAGAATAAATCCAATATGGCGGCTACAATGCAATATCTTAATGCTATGCTACTGGTAGAGCTGCAAAGCTTCTAAATGAGAATTAGACATGTCATAATACCATGCTAATGTGTAAACTATTAAAAATAATGTAGTGTTATTATCTCTAAAAGGCTTATACTCATGAGGATTTGCATAATATGATGGCTGGATAAGATAGAACCTCTTCACATAAATGTACCCAAAAAATCTGGTGTGATGGTACAACTGGTTACAAAATGGAGGCAAAAATAAAAAATTTCCTCAGGCCTAAGGCACAATGGTCCAAAATGTCTCTATGTTATGCCTATGAGGAACAAGCTTGGACCTTGCCTATAGCAATGCAACAGAGTACTCAGCAATCAAAGGTTATAATAATATATGCCATAATGTATATGGTACTTTACAAAATCAGACTTCATTAATATAACCTTTGGTTCAAATGAGTGTACATCCTGCATTAGTGTTCTGACATAATGATCCAAGCTTTGGCTCCCATTAAAAAAAAAAAAACTGTAAGCACAAGAGAAACATTTTAAATTGATATTTGTTTTCACAATGTACAAAATATGTCAAATTTGGACAATGTATCTTTCTCACCTTGGACCATTATTCCAGTGTCCTGTCCATGCTTGTTTCATTTTGATGTTTTAGATCATGCGTATTTATTTAAACCATGAACATGTTACATGCAAAATACACACACTTAAAAAACACTGATACATTAGACCAATGTATTTTAATACAAGATATTTTAAAATATTGATCAGGCAGAACCAAATGTATGAAATATTGACTGCATAGAAATGACACTGCTTTCTCATTCGATTTCAAGTACAATGTAGCACAAAATAACAACTGATGATCTATCTACAACACATATTGTCATGTAACGTAAAAATTACAAAATCAGTAAATGTCACCATTACATAGTTTCACAGTTATGTAAAATTAATGCAAAATGTTTGTGAACTGAGACTAAGCATGTTACACAGGGTTAGACATCCAATTCCATTTTGAGCTAGGACTTACAAAAACATCAACAATTTCAGGTTTTAAATGTTTATACTACTGTAGGGTATTTCTGGCAATTATTTAATTTAACAGAAATTATTCCATATAGAATAAGATGTAATTACATAATTATTTACCTGTTAATTAGAGAAGCATATTTATAAATTTATTAAAATAGATGACATGCACTATTACTTGTTATAACTGAAATGTTATATATGGAATAATATTTTGTAATAAAACTATTAAAATATGAGATGAGGTTTTCCTGAGTGATGAAGACTTTATATACGCATATACACAACCTTATTTCAAGCTGTCTGTGCTGGAAATAAGTAGATAGTGGAGTATATAATTAAAGGAAATTAAGTTTTTGAAACAGATGAAGTACTGCTGTTTACACTTCTGAGAGAGACAGAGTATCAAGATACAGTAAGCTCACTAGTATGCTCTTTTTTTGTGGTGGTCAATGCTTAAATAGACTCTTCATAGATGTATCACTCATGTAACATTGCAACAGATGATAGCATTCAGGTCTGATATGTGCTGAAACAAATCACTGATAATACTAAAGCGAGAAAGAAATTTTGAAAACATTCCTATCTTTAGTGTTTATATCTGAACAACAGTTAAACTCTATGTGCTAGGTTAAAGCTGCTCAATAAATATCACAAAATTTCTAAGATTATATGAGATTCAAGGTATTCAAAGCAGCAAATATTAAGACTGATGTCTTACAGTATGTGACACCATGTAATCTGGTAGACGGTTAGTAATGATTTGGGAAAGGCTGTTGCCCCCCACCTTTAGAACAGAAGAATGAGACTGCAGTTTCCCCAGAATTCTGATAACCATCTACCAAATTATGTGGTGTCATATCCCAGAAGTGTAAAGTCTTAATTTCTAAGATTATGTTTATTGTTTCATCAAATTAAACTGTTACATTTTATTTACTCTTGATATTATCAAGTATCCAAATCAGAATTTATTTTCAAGATGTAGAACAGAACAAAGTAACCATAGAGCACTAAAACCAGTAGGGGATGCCATCGCTGGGGTATCACCTAACACACAGTCACACATGTGGTTCTTGTGGCAGTCTGCGACTGCATGGTAGGTGATACCCTGGCTGTGGCATCACCTACTACAGAGTCATAGACCACCACAAGAACCACACGCTCCGGTCGCCACATCTTAAAACACTTAACACATCATATTCAATTATGCACATGAACTAGCAGTTTAAACTTACAGACTAGGTCCATAGAAAACTGAGGTTAGTATTCTCAGAGCAAAACATAAAAGCTACCTGTCAATTTAAACCAATTCTTAAGTATTTCAAAGTAACTCCTACATAATGGGCCAAGTGGACATCATTTGTTTTATATACAACAACTATGAACATTATAATTTGCCACTATAAGCAACCAGACTGCTATTACCTCATCTGTATGTGAACAGGAAAAAATAAGTTAAAAAATTTCCAATATGAAATTTTTAGTACATACACAAACTTATGATAATAGAACTATAAATTCCCTTTGGCAAACAAGATATACATGACTTGAATCCCCTTCAGAACAGTGGCATTTAGGTATTAAAGAGACTTAGTAAGCATATCAACATTAAATATGAAAATATTTCATGCCACTGAAAGCATCAGTTCAAGTCTAAAGAAAGTACAATAACATTCTTCACAAATACGAACATATAACAATGTCATAACATAAATTAACCTTAAATAACTGATGGAATGACTTTCCATACTTCTCTCTACAGTGAGAGCATCTTGTTAACTAAGATGATGCTATGATAACATCATAAAACATTCTGCTCCTTCATGTTTTATCTGTTTCTGAACTTCAGCTCATTTAGTTTAATTTAATTGTACAATCTTAAAGCACTGAATGATCATGAGTATGTCTAACAAAATAAAGCACTTTCAACAAGTTCAGAGGTATTTAAACAATAACTTATATTCAGAGCAAAAATTCAATCTTTCATATGCATCTGCACTTACTGTGTTGGAAGATGATATTTCTTCATTGTTCTTTTATGTCAGGAGGATATGTATCAGCGTAAGAAATAGACACACACCTGTGATTGTACATTCTAGACCTCACAAGCTATAGATGCTTCTAGTACTGACTGAAGTATCTGATATGAGTTTAATTTCAAATATCGGATGTTTCATGTAACACTGGTGATAAAAGAAATTTAAATCAATTATCTTTCTTTACAATAATCAATGATAAAACAAAATTCCAAACTCTGAAATTCCTGTTTGTGATACACTACATACTCTGAATGCTCTGAAGAAACATTTGGACCATTGTTAAGTCAGACATATAGAACACAGCCACCCTTCCTGCTTTACCACTGTAATTGTTGATGTATGGGACAATGATAACGTAAATAATAATGAAGAGTTTCTCATATAAGCTCAGATCATTAAGGTGGCAAGCTGAAGCAAGAAATTGTCTCATAGCAGTCATTAGTTGCATACTTAAAAGTTAACTTATGTGTTTCTAGGTCTGTGTATTTGATAAATAAACTGCAGGCATAAGTGACCTTTTTACAGAAAATGCACATACATCAATAATATGTAACTACTGTCATCAGAGCAATAAAATGGCACTGTATTACAATAACACTGACTGCAGTGGCTGCGAGGTCTAAGACATGAACTATCATCGCCAGCTCGAAAACTTGGGTCATGGTCTCGAATCCCACTTGAGACATGGACGTCTGTGTGCATTTATTCTGTGTTTGTGCTATCCCGTGTGTAGGTTGCAGCCTTGCGACAGGCTGACCCCCGTTAAGGGAGTCATACCAACTGTGTATAGGATTACAAAACTGAAAGAGCAGCCAGGGCCCAACAAAGGACTGTAGAGCCATTGATTAATGAATGAATAAATGTATTACAATAACACTAAGGTTGCTGTCACAAAATGTAGTGATTTTACTAAATACATTACATTCTCAAAATAAGAAATATGCATATGACCAGCAAATATACCAAGTATTCATAACTGTCTCATATTTAAATTCAATATGTCAAATGTCTGAAACATTGTGTAGTAAATTAGAGTTTACAAATCATTAATATGGCAATCAGCGTAACATTAACACCAAACTGTTCAAATAAATAGATGCTCAAATATGGTGACTTGGTTAATCATGATTTTGTATAGCAAGCAAGCTACTGTTGGCAGTGGATGTTATGGGTGTACAACTTGAATCAATGAGGCAGTCTACACAAAAAAAAAGGGCAAGAAAAAATTAATGAAATTAAAACATGTATGAATGCTTTCCAACTTCCTTTAAAAGGAGTGGAAAATCTTGAAGAAGAAAGAAAAAATAAAGAATTAGGAAGTGTTTACTAAATATTATGTGTAGTTTTTCAATTCATTTTACACAACACTTCATAAATAATGTAGAAAAATAAGAAATTAATAAAACTCCATGTTCATATGGTCATTGTGATGCATATATCTATACTCATATATTAGAAATAATATACTTCTTGTAATGCAGGGCACCAGTATGTATCTCAGGCACAGTGCAGCTTCTC